AGATGCCTTTTTTTTTTTAAAGTAGAATTTTGGGCCAAGTGGCCTCTTTCTGTCCTGCCCTTCCTTCCCTGTGTCCTTCCAGTCTCCATGGAAACCCTAAATCAATGTAGCATATGTTGATTCATGTTTCTACTGTTACTAGGAAGCTATGAAGTGGAAATTGCTTTTAAAAGATTTACGGAAGAGCTTTAGCATTGTGACCAGAATTCAAATCTAATATCCAAATGACTATTTTATTAAAAGCTTTTAAAGTGGTCCTGTCCTAGGTGGTATGTTGATCAAATAAACACACAGGAGGCATTTGGCAATAAACCTTCTCCTCTACTATCAGGGCTTTTTAAAATATTACGTTGCAGGTTTAAATTCCTTTTATCTCCAATTTAATTACATTTTTGTGGCCGGTGTGACAATGACCGGTGCCCCTTTTGCTCCTGATTCATTATACCCTGCCCTGCCCAGGCTTCTGGGATCGTTCGCGAATGCCTTATGTACCTATGCTGTGGTCCCCGAGTGCCATTAGCATTCTGTTGACTTCAGTCTCGACCAGGAGATTGTAGAAGTCTTAACAGGTTTCTGCTGTAAGAAATTCTCAGTGATTTTTAAAGATTTTTTTTTTCAGGAACTCAAAATCAAATTCAGCTGACATTTACTAAACACCTGCTCCACGTGAGGCAATGAGAATTAATAGCAAGGGGAGTAAGTCATGGAGTCTGCCCTTTTGGAGTACACAGTTAGTTGGGAAGATCAGAAAACATAAATCCCAAGGATAAAGGAAAACTGATGTAGGCCGTCAGAGACCCGTACAGCAAGGTGATGGTATCGGGATGGAGGGCTTCCTTCTGACAGAGAGAGCTCTGGAAAAGCTTTGGAAAGGAGAATTTTTAGCTTGGAGGTAATGGGTTTGGAGAAGAAGCTTGGAGTTAATAGGCAGATTGAGGGTGAGGACTTCTGGGCACAAGGAATAGCACAGGACCCAGGCACACATGCATGTGTGTGTGTGTGCACAGTGGGATGTAAAACTGGAGAGGTAAATGGGGCCAACTTATTGTCAGGCAGGAGGAGAGGCTGCAACAGAGCCCGTGAAGAATGCTTGTATAGACGGTGCCCTTCATGCAGCTATCGGATCAGTGGGTAGTTCCGGTGTTCAAGAAGGTTTGTGGGCAGGCAGGGGTGAGACAGGGGCAGGGGATCAGTTATTTAAAAGGGGGCAGGAGGACATGCACTGAGCTGTGAGCCAAATAAGCTCTGACACGGCAGCATCAATGGATGGGAGGGAAGGAAGTTGAGAAGGATTTCAGAAATATAATGACAAGAATAAAAAACCAATTCAGCAAGGGGGATGGAGAAAAAGCAGCCAGAAATCTTTGTACTTGCTGCCCTGAGAGACTGGGTCAGAGAGGTATCATGAACAGACATAGGGAACCCAGCAGGAGTGGAGGATTGGGAGGGGAAAGGTGGTTGTCTCAGATGTGGTCCAGGGTGCAGTCTGAGCTGGAGGAGCTGTCCAGCAGACCTCTGGAAAAGCAGGCTGGAGCTCAGGGGAGGCAGGACTGGAGCTCTGATTCTGGAGACAGTGGTCCCTGCCTGGAGAGGGCAGGGTTTCCAGTGGCATCCAGCATCGAATGGGAAGAGCAGAGGGGTACCAGACAGCCCAAGAAGCAATAGTGGGGCTTGTAATCAGTGTTTTCCTGGGAAAAACCATGAGTCGTAGCCAGTGGAGAAGTCCTGTGCCCAGTCTTCAGTCAGCGAATCAGAAGCAGCAGCCAGAAAAGAGTCCAGAGCTTTCCATTCCTGGGCCAGGACTCTAAGCTGGGGAAATTCAGGGCCCAAATAGAGCTCAGCGGTGCTCTCCTAACATTTTCCTTCAGGGGGAAGACAACGCTGGGAGGTTTTACTTTGGTTTAGGTTCAGCTCAATTCTCCCCCTGAAATTCTTTACGCATTTGCCTCTTTGGAAGATTAAGCTTGAGTCCTCCCATGAGAGGGGACCTGTTCTACATCTGCCCTTTTCAAACTGGGATACTTTGTGCTGACCCCCTGGTATTTAAGAGTGTTTGGTAGAAAAAACTCAGACTAATTTTCCCTCTTTCCTAATGCCAAACATCTCCATACACTCTTTTTTTTTTTGAGACAGAGCCTCCAGCTGTCACCCTGGGTAGAGTACCGCAACTACTACTCAGAGCAACCTCAAACTCCTGGGCTAAAGTGATGCTTTTGCCTCAGCTTCCCAAGCAGCTTGGACCACAGGTGCCCACCATAATGCCTGGCCATTTTTTTGCTGCAGATGTCATGGTTGTTTTAGCTGGCCAGGGCCAGGTTCGAACCCACCAGCCTTGTTGTATGTGGCCGGCACCTCACCCACTGAGCTATGGGTGCCGTCCATCTCCATACACTCCTGAACCTCTGCTCTTTATCCATGTATTACTGTTCTTTCCTTTAAATCTTTCTTGATTACCATATCTTTCCTTAAACATTTAACTTATTGACTTGTTGTGACAATATTATTTCTCTGAAGGCCAAGTGAAGATTCTGATGCCTGTTAATATTGATCAGCTTCTGTTTAGACTTGGCCCATCTGCAGCCCTGCCCTCCATCCTCATACAGTTAATATTGATCGGCTTCTGTTTAGACTTGGCCCATCTGCAGCCCTGCCCTCCATCCTCGTACAGGTCTTTCCATCCTGTATACCAGCCTGGCAGCATGGGACTTGGGGGAGGCCTTTGTCCTACCATTTTAGCACTGGTAGAAAAGTGTTCCATAATGACACTGCCTTTGTGTTAAAGTGAGAAGCAGAACCAAGGCTGGGAGCATTGAGTTTATTATCAGACACCAGCTCTGCCACTTATAAATGACTGGTCTCTATTTTTTCACCTGTAAAATGGGGATGATAAAGATGTCAGCCTTGTAATTTTGTTGTGAGAGTTAAATAAAATAGCTCGAGAGCAATATTTAATATGGCAACTGGCATATGCAAGGTGGACATAAATTTCGTGTGCCATTTTAAAATAGTTTAACATAGTATATTATGCACGAACTTTACATCCAGCCTGTATTAAATGCTTGTTGGACATTAGCTACGTGGAATCACCTTATGGTATAAACATATCTTAGACTTGGAAAGTGCTTGTCAGTGGGCTTTTATGTACCTATTTATCATGTACCTGTTTCTAATAGTACTAAGAAAATGTCCAGAAGTAAAGGATTCTCTTTCTGCTTAACCTAGTTGAAGACAGGGTTTATAAAGAACAGGGAATTTTTCTTTTGCATCTCATTTTGCAATGCAAGTTTCCCTTTCCCTAACAGAGGGGCACTGTGGACATTATCGGAGAGAGGCAATGCGTCACTGTGGAGGCAGCATCAGAATTTTTATTTCATCCTCTCATCAGGCAATGAGTACTTGCGGCAGAATGATTTCACTGAGAGAATACAGGTTATGCACCAATAGGTCTGCCCAGAAAGACTGGGTCGCTGTATGACGTAGTAGAAAAAGCTCTGCTGTGAGAGTCATAAGACACAGGCTCCGGTCCTGGGGCTGCCTCACGGGTGTTGTGTCACTTTGAGAAAGGTACTTCATCTTTTGTGGCCTCTGTTTGTTCATCTGTAACACGGGAATAATAACACCCGTTCTGTGATGCAGGATCGTTGAGTGACGCTGTGTGGAGATGCTTTATACGTTTAAAAAAGTTAAATGAATGGAATCTATTAGCGTCGTTAGAAAGCCATCACTTTCTGTAAAGATTTCTGCTGCCTTCTGGGTTTTATAAATGACTTGCAGCAAAGGCTAGGTGTATTTGGAGCTAGTTCCTGAGTGGGAGTGTAGACTCAGCCTTAGAGACCTAGATCATAATAAAAAGGCAAATTTTACCCCAGGGTAATGGTTTGCAAACTGTAACAGGCATTAGAATCACCTGGAAGGCTGGGCCCATCCCCAGAGTTTCTGATTGTGTAGGTCTGGGGTCTGGGGATGTATAATCTGAGAATTTGGATTTCTAATACTTGTCCAGGTGATGCTGACGCTGCTGGTCTGGGGACCACACTTGGAGAACCACTGTACTAGGGCAAACAGGCAGAGCGTCTTCCTTCTGGAACTGAACCAGGCAGTGTGAAGATCCATGTGGGTAAGGAGGTTTGAAGAAAAAAATGGAAAAGATAGACAGAAAAATAGGGATACTGTGCAGATCGGGCAGAACAAAGGGAAAAGTCTCACTCCCTAACAAATGCAAGTAGGGGGAAGTTGCTAGGTGATGGATGAGGGAGCGAGGTGAGTTTCTACTGTAGGCAAAGCCAGGTGAGAGGCAAGTGCACAGAGTGGGAAATATGCATGTTTGGGGAGGCAGAGGAGGTGGAAATTTCTCATTAAGAAGTGGGGCGTGGTGTGCTTGGCACTGGTAGGGAGTGGGAGTGGAGATGGGCTGGGGGATGCCTCCGTGGGTTAAGGGGGACAGGGGAGCTGTGGCAGTGAGGGCTGATTTCAGGACCCTGTGGTTTGGCTTGGTAGTGCAGCACAATAGAAATTGGGAGAAAGGGGGTGGAATTTAGATGTGTGACCTGCCCCGTAGCTCTCTTGCTCTCTGCATTTATCACATCACATCGCACCCAGCAAGACAGGCCCCCTCCTCCTGGCTCATTAGGAGATTTGATTCGGCGTGGCTCCTGCTGTCGGCAGCTGTCTGGGGCAGGATCTTTCTGCTCCCTGCCCTTGTGCAGCAGCCAACCTTCAGCCAGCAGCGGGGCTCATTAGAAGAAGGCCCCTGGACACTGGATTTCCAGCTCTCTGGTGGCTGGAAAGAGTTAATACTTATCTTTGCTGCCCCCTGTACAGCCTCTGGGTGCGGAGGGAGGCAGCTGAGGGCTGTGGGGACTTCTCCCTGAGCTGCAGGCAGAGAAGCTTCAGGTCAGTGAGGCTGAGCTCTGCTCAGGGGCACCTCCTGCATCCTGCCAATGAGGGCGGGTGTGCAGACCGTGCCCGGGAGCCGAGCTGCTGCCCGCTGGGTGTAGGCTGCTTCGGTATTTACTGGATGTGACAAGCAGAGAGAAGAGCTTTCAGCAGGGGCTCTCGCTGCCTGGCTCAAGTGGTGGGAGGTGTGTTGTGCATGCCTGCATGTGTGTGCGTGCGGGTGCACCTGTGTGTTCGTGCACACATGCCCTCCGCCCGCCAAGGATTTGACTGCTAAAAGAAAGGTCTACTTTTTCTGCAGAGCTCCTTAGCCCGCAGCCTCTCTGACCATCCAGTTGGCAAAGACCCGCAGGCCATGAGGACTGGCCAGAGACAGTGAGTATTGCTTTTGCTTTTCTCTTTCCTCTCCGGGGGTCTGTGTGCACCGACTGCATTATCCATATTTAATTAACCTGCCTCTTCATGCATATTGATTGCTTTCTCCCTGCTGAGGCTCTTAGTTTCTCTCCTCCTCTTTATAAATCTTTGCTCTTTGCTTTTAACCTTTGTTTTTTTTCCTTGAGTATCCTCTCTTTCCATCATGTCCCAGTCTGCCCCAGAGTCACCTATGACTTGCTGCCACTTATGAGGGCACATGCACTGAGGGTACAACCACATCCTGGAATTTCCTGGGCTCTGGGTAACCCCTAACTCTCTCCTTCCATAAGTCTGAGGCCAAGTGGGGTAAGAGCCCCAAGTTGCTGGCCTGGTTGGAATGGCTTAGGTGGCTGGAGCCGAGGGTCCTGATGATCCTCATTTAGGGGGGTCTGAGCCTAAGCTAATCGAAGGAGTGGTAGAGGGTCTGAGGATCGATCTGGGCAGTGCTGGATTTGGAAGAGAGAGAGGCAGGCATCTGAACAGCATGGGCCAGCCAGTGTGGGCCGGCAGTGAGATGGGAGGAGTGACAAGGGAGGGACAAAAGGCTGGGTGACCCCCTGCCCCAAATGACCTTGCCTGTGGTCTACATATTTAGCAGTCTCTGGTCCCACTCAGCTCTGGGAAAATAGAAAGCCCTGGGGCCAGATCCCACAGTAAGAGAAAATAAGGCTTAGGTGGCCCAAACTCGATTTACAGACTTACAGGGGTCCTTATAGCCACAAAGGGTTTAGATTTCCTGACTTCTGGGCATGCAGAGGTAAGTGTGGCCAAATATCAAGGAAATATCCCTGCTGCCAGGAAATCCATCCATGGGGATGAACCTTTACACAAAGTCTAACTAACTAATTTTTTTTAACAAAGCGATCTTTTTATTTTACTAATTATAGTGTTATTAGAGAAGCTATTTAAAGAAGTATTTGTGAAATGTTCAGGGTAATATAAAAATAATTTAAAGGGTGTAGCTCACATAGGAGTCTTATCTATCTAAATTAGGTTTCTTTTCAAATGGATTCTATGTTTGGTGTCAGAGTTCCCCGGGGGAACCCTTTATGGATAGGCTGCTCTGCTCATGTGTCTTTCCCTATCAGAGTTCTTCTGTGGGAACAAAGGGTTTGGAGCACTGAGAATGGGACCCTCAGGAGAAGAAGACTATAAGTCAATCAGCCTCAGCCTCAATGTGGCTTCTCCCCCCACCCTCATGTCCTCCCTGCTTTGGGTCAAAAGTGGGCCAGTTCCCCAGACTGAGAAAGGCCATGTGGCCTCCATATGGGTGAGACTGGGTGACTTGCATATTCATTTCTCTAGCCTGTGCCTGCCATCCCTGCACAGGAGCAAGTGACGGTGCCTGACAAGCCTCCCTGGGAGTTACTCCCACCTCCTTCCCACTCCTGCTTTCCCAAGTCTCCACACCCTCTTACTGGGACAGGTGCCTTGGAGCGAGGTGAGACTCAGAGCAGCATCCGATCACATCATTTTGGAGGCAGTACTGATCCCCCCCCACCTCTGCCCCTTGCTGGCTGGTCACTTGGGCCCCACTCTACTAAGAGAAAGAGAGCAGTCATTTTTGGTTTGCCAGGCCCATGCCTCCCCTGAGGCACACGTCCCACTTTATTGGTGGCCAGTGGTTGGGGAAGTGAACACTCCTGACCACCAGCCAGCAGTGTGAAGCCACCCAACAATTTGCTCTTGCACCTTGTCCATCCTTTCTCCCTGGCCCTTGCTAAAGTCAAGCGGACATTTGCGGGGACTGGGGTGTATGTGGGGAGGTGTCACACTGGCAGCCAGCCATCTGAGAGGACATGTAGTACACAGCAAGATGAGAGGTTGGCTCCTCTTACTGCAGATTCTTTGATTTTAGGTGACAGGACGAGAAAGGGTAGATCCCTGAGCCCCGCAATCTTATTTCCTGCCCTGACGTCCCTGCAAACCAGCCCAAGTGTTAACCGTAAGCGGATGCCTGTATGGCTGCCTTACTGATGCCACGCAGGTAACGGATGGATGACCTGTTCTTTGACCCTGCTCCCATCCCCCTTTCTCCACCTGCCTGCCTCTCCTGCTGTCTGAGCCTGTCCAAGCCTTCTCAGCCCATATGTGGGCCACTTGCATCTGTCCCCCAGCCTCCTGCGTGGACTGCACTGTCCTTGCCTGTGTGCTTGCAAAGTTGTGGCCTTGCAAGCAGAACCTGCCTTAGCTTGGAGCCCTCCCATTGAATGGTGAAACATCTTGGCAGAGACTTATGGGGTGGGATGAGAGACTGTGCATGAGCCTGTATGGAGCCCTTTAGGAACCTCTGTGAGTTTACTGGGCTAAGAGTTGTGGAGAGAAGACAGATGAGGAAAAGTCTAGTTTGTTTTGCTACTGTTGTTGTTTTAAATAACCTCAACCTTTGACTCTTGTTTCTGCTCCCATTATTTCAAACTTAACTAAGAAATTTATGACTCAAGGTCTCAGTTAGAAAAATGCATAATAAAACCCATTTTGTTTCAAAGAATATTTTGTTGGAGATGTTTACAAATTATTTAGGAGAATCGCAGTTGTCTTGGTGACAGGTAGCACCCATTACAATGTCCCCAGCTAAACCTTGTTAAATAGTTTCTGTGGATTTGCAGTTTTTGAAAGTCCTCTTAATTGTTCGTTGGGCACAGAACCTGATTGTTTTATGACTAAGGATCCCGAGGCCCCTAATGTTGGGTTCTGGCCTGTGGTGTGGCCTGAGCAGGACCCTTGCTTGAATTTACAGAATATGAGGACTCAAGGGCCCTTAATCAGTTGCTCGCACAGGCTGGGGTCAGGCACCCTGTGATCTGTGAGAGAAAGTGGACACGTAAGATGCTCACTGTCTTAGGACTGACAATGGCTGTAGCCAATATTTGGAAGTGCCATGGGATAGACGTTTCACAACTCGGTCTGCCTGAGATTTAAGGTGGGGGCAGGGGATGCACAGGGCCAGTTTTTTGCAGGAGAAGGATATTTCTGGAAACTTGGATGTTCCAGTGCTGACAGGCTCTTCAGAGATGTGCTTTGGAATACAAATGTTGTCCATCCCTGCCAAATATAATGCCATCCCAGTAGTCATTTGTTGGATAAGATGCCTGTGAACAAAGACGATTACCAGGGATGAAAAGCCATTTGAAGTAAAAGGAAGTGATTGAATTGGATGACCTGTAAGATCTCTGCCCAGCCCTAGGATTTGTGAAAAAGAGGAGAGGAAACTCGGGCTGGAGGAACTTCCTTTCTATGTGGAGAATGCTATCTTCTAGGGCTATTTCTTTGGCAAAATATGCAATTTTGGGCCAAAATCTGAGGCGCTTCCCTTGTGTAAGTCACTCTTAGGTCCTGACCTGATTATAGTAGAACCTTTTCACATACCTTTGCCCTCACCATGGAGGAGTTGCCCTGGTTAAAGGTCAGGGGCCAACCGAGTTATTGTGTCAAGGGCCAGAGTGTAAATATTTTTAGCTTTATGGGCCATATTGTTTGTGTTGCAACTACCCAACTTTACCCTTGCAGTTGAAAGCAGCTTTGGACATAATGTAAGCAAATAGTGTTGTTGTGTTCCAATAAAACATTAGTTATATAAACAGGCCCGCTTGTGGGGCCGTAGTTTGTCAATTCCTGGTTAAAGATAAACAGAGATGAATGTTGGGAGGCAGGAATGTAATTTTTCATTGGCGCCTCCAAAACAGATGAGTATTTGAAATGCCTAATGTCATTGTATGGGTCCTTTGGCAAGTAAAAAAAAAGAATGCGAGACATTTGAATATGCATGTTAAAAATTTATGCTTACTGACATACGCCATAATATAAATGGGAATACAAGCGCTTCATTAAGCAAGTATACTATGTAAGAAATGACAAAGGGGACATTGGTTGGTAAAGTCATGGAGATTGCACCAGTTGCTGTTCTCCTCACCTGCAGGCATCGATTCTTGCAGGTCCATAGTCATTCACGTATATAACCCGATTTGTGGGACCAAGGGGAGAGCCTCGGTCGGACGACCCTTCCTTGAGGCCCCGTACTTTGTCTGTGCTCTGAGGCTCTCTGATATGCCCTGCCCTCTGCCAGCATCCCTCTGCTCTCCGCGTGGGTACTCCTTCTGTGGTTTTGCAGTCAGGAGCTGCTGCTGCTGCTGCTGTTACCTAGCCCTCCTTGTGGGAAAGCAAAATGTAGATTATTATTTTGTTATCATTGCATTTTCATTCCCTACAGACAATCCTAATTTAGAAATTCTTCCAAGCTAACGACCTTCACTGACTTACCACCAACTTGCTGTGTCAGCTTTAAAAAGCACTAAGCCTCTAGGGTCGGGTAGGGTGCCTATGACTGTTCCAGTAGCCATGAGCCTGCAGGTGTTTTCTCCTTGTTCACGAAGCCTTCAGGGAGGAGGAGTGGGGGCATCGCTGGCTCTTGCAGCAGCAGCTCCAGGGGCTCCGTGTAGAACTGACAGCTCTGATCATGACAGTTTCTCTGTCCTTCTACCCTGTGCTTGTTGCAGGAACAAAGGGATGAGGACTCGACTGGGATGCCTGTCTCACAAGTCAGACTCGTGTAGTGATTTCACAGCTATTCTTCCCGACAAACCCAACCGTGCTCTCAAGTGAGTAGTTTGGCTGCATGGCATCCCCAGGGTGCCCGCAGTAGGGTGCCCGCTGAGGCTGTATAACTCTGGCTTCTCTAGTGAGCTGCTGACCAGATGAGCCACAGGACAATAAATCCCTGCCTCCTGGCAAGTCCTCTTACTATCCCTGAAACCGGGCAATAGGAATGTTTATGTTCCTCTTCAAAACAGGTAGCTTAGTGATCTCCAAATGGGAAGCCTCCTTTTCTTCCTGAGAAAGCCGTATCATCCATCACACATAAAGCCGTGGGTGGTGAAGGATACTTCTTGGTTCTATTTCGTTGTCACTCTGAGCTCCCAATTTGGAAATAACATTCAAACTTCACTCTAAAAATATGCTTAGGTTCAGATAATCTGGATTTGGCACCCACTCTGTATTAAATGTCCCAGACATTACCTCATTCAACCCCCACACAGCTCTGTAGTGGGCATCACTGTCCCCACTGTAGAGGTGCAGAAATCAAGGTGACAAGAAAGAATGGAGTCGGGAGCTGAGCCTAGTTTTCTGACTTCAAGACTGGTTTCTTTCCATTGTTACTTTGACATCGTTAAATCATGCATTTAGCTTTGTTCTTTAGACTGAAAGCCAAGAGTTTAGTCAATTCCCTGAATTTCAGTCCTGCAGTATTCTCACGTGACTTAAGAATGTAAACATTTACAGCGACAGAATTGCAGGGATCCAGATATGGTCCTCATTCGCTCCCAACTGTTCCAATTTGTTCTCCTGAGCAAATCTCAGTGGTCATTGAGGGTAAGGAGGTCATTTCAGAAATAGTCAAGAGAGATGTTTCTTCTTTTCCAGGAGACTATCCACAGAAGAAGCTACGAGGTGGGCAGACTCCTTTGACGTGCTTCTCTCCCACAAGTGTAAGTAGGATTCAGGTCACATCATGGCATGGGAAATCACCCATTTAGTAAAAGATGTACCCAGTGCCTACCATGATCCAGGTACTGTGCTGAATGTCCGAGACCTCTGTGGGTCTTGCCTTCACGGAGCCTCCTGTGTAGAGGAGTGTAGAGATAAGAAAATGGATAATTTTAATGCTTTTGAATGCGACCCTTCTTTTCTGGGTTCCAAGCATGCTCCCAAGTAGCCCTCACATTCTGGGGCTGCGGAATGATAGGCTCAATTGTGAATGAGAGCCTCTGTGTTCCAGCCCAGAGCTTGTGTATGAAATAGGACTTCCTCATCCCAAGTCACTGGAGAGTCTTTTGCTATGTGTCAGTCAAATGACTCGTCCGTGCATTTTATTATTCACTTGAGTTGAGAGAGTTTCAGGTTTTCTTGTTGCTTTTTATGTTGAAGGTTTACGACTCTAGCTACTTTGCATCCCCAAACTTCTGCCTGGGTATGAATTTGCTAGAACACCACTTGTGTCGTTCCTCCTCTTCCATTTCCATTGCCTTATCTGTAATGCCTTTTGCTCTCCATGAAATAGTTACGTGTATTGTGGTGTGAAGGAGGCAATGTGGTGTCATCCAGATTTTCCGCTCTTGTTTTTTCCTCCTCATGAACAGGTCAAAATTCTTTGGGCTTTGAAGTCTCAGAGGCATTAAATACATGGGTGGGGTAGAGCAGGGGTGAGGGAGAGAGGGATGTTCTAAAGAGACAGGAAGGTTTCAAATAGACATTTGGTGTACCTCTTAAATATATCATGTCAATTTTAGAAGCTTTAATTGATCTGGAGTAGAAGGGCTGATTTTAGTTCAAAGTATTTTTTTTTGGCCGGGGCCGGGTTTGAACCCACCACCTCCAGTATATGGGCCAGCGCCCTACTCCTTTGAGCCACAGGCGCCGCCCTTTAGTTCAAAGTATTATTCTCGCTTCCTTGGGGGACATAGTTTGGTATAATTGGGTTAAAGGCACAGGGTGGGAATCAGACCTGTATTCACAAATGTCAACCCAACTTCCTTCCTTAGGTAGTTGGGTGGCCTTCATGGACACTCTTGGTCTTCAGAAGATGTCTTTAGCAGTGATTTTGCTTTCAACTTGATGAGCCGTTCCCTCCGACTATATCCCTAACCTTAATAACAAATGCATTTGAATACATTTTAAAATGAAATGCAAAATCTAAGAATAAGCACATATTGTAGCAAGTAATTTCGTGAGACAAATAGTCATTTTAGTATTCTATGGATTGCACTTAGGAAGGAAAATAAGGCAGCACAGTTACAGCATATGTAACATATGGCCATACCCCAAACAGCAAGCTTATGTGGTGAAGTTGCCAAGGTGATGGCATATGTATGACAATATTTAGGATTTGACGGTAAGGCTTTTATTTATTTATTTTTTTTATGAGGCTATTCTGACTTATTTTCTGGAGTCATATTAGGCTAAGCAAGTGTCACTGCCAATTGATGCCTTCTTTTCTGGCTGGATTCGATTCAAGGTCATCTTGAAGTTTGGTTTCTATTTCAGCCTCACAATTGACTCAGTTCAAGTCCCCGAGGCGGTTTCCTCATTCTAAAATCGGGATGAAAATACTGGCTTGCTACTTGTCACCTGCATATGAGCGACTTAATAAGAGGACACCTCGAGAGGATGTTGAGTTTTCTACTCAAAGGTGTTTGGTAAAGATAGGGTAGTTTTTTGTTGTTGTGTTCAAATGATGCGTTCATTTATCAAATGCAAAATAAATGTGCCCTGAGAATAAGGTTGCAAAATTTGCTGCCAGTTCTGAATAGTCAGCCATTTTGGATAGAGTTTATGGTGCTGAAGTTAGTGGCTGGAAGCTTGAGGTACATTTGGATCACTGCAGAGGCAGACCTGAGATTTAAGAGGTTTAATTTTATTTATTTGATTTGATGCCTTTTAGACTGAAGACGCTTGGTTTTGCTTTTGTCAAAGATGCTTTGGGTTTCCAGGAATGCAGTGACACTTTCCTGAGATGAGGATTCTGATAAAGGGTTACAAGCTGACACTAGATTGCTTTTTTGTAAAACTACTGCAGAAAGACGCTTTTTGAATGTTGAAGTTTATGATCCTTGTTGGAGTGTGATGTTCTCTTTTTAATGTCTGTTTAGTCTGGAAACAAAAAGCCCATGGAGTGAATGTCTTTGAGAAGAAAGGGAACTTTATTCAGGGTCACCGGTAGAATTTTAGGCTTTTAGAACTTGGACATTGACTCCCTTGTGACAGCTGCAGAGTAGTCAGAGCCAGGTTACCTTGAATGGTGTTGAAGACTTTCTAAAAGTCTAATTAATTTCGGTTGGTATTATGACTCAATTAGGGCTGATTAAGCTTTTCCAAAGGGATTGCCCGTCTGCTGGTCCCTTAGGAGGGGCAGCGTTTATCAGAGGTGTACAGAGCTTTCAATTAAGACAACAAAATGTCCTAAGAAGTAAAGTGTAGAGAATTCCTGAATAACAAGGCTCCAGAAAAATGTGCATTACTTTAGAATCCACTCCCTGGTCATTCTTCACACCTAGGCAGCTGTCCTTTGTAAGTTTTATATTTTAGAAAATCCACATAATTATTCCCCCCCCTCCATTCTTAATCGATAGTCTCTGCTATCTCTCTCTGTTCTGTTGGGTATTTTAGGCACTCGTTTATTTTTAAAAAGATGTACTGGCTTGACACCTGTGGCTCAAGTGGCTAAGGCGCCAGCCACATACACCTAAGGTGGCGGGTTCGAATCCAGCCCCAGGCCTGCCAAACAACAATGATGGCTACAACCGAAAAAAAAATAGCCAGGCGTTGTGGCAGGTGCCTGTGGTCCCAGCAACTTGGGAGGCGGAGGCAGGAGACTCGCTTGAGCCCAGGAGTTGGAGGTTGCTGTGAGCTATGCCACGGCACTCTACCCAGGGGGACAGCTTGAGGCTCTGTCTCAAAAAAAAAAAAAAAAAAAAAAAGATGTACTGAATGTTCATTGTGTACAAAGCCTATGGTAAGCAGCTGTGTATGTGGAGTGGGTACACAAAGATGAACAAAGCCCAGTCCATCCCTGGTGGAGGATGCAGCCTCCTGAGAAGACAGGCATGGATGCAAATAGCATAAGAGGCGATACGGTGTGCTGCCTATGCACTAGGTAATGCCTCTGGAAAAGCTTACGATTTCCAATAGAATTCTGACATTCAGTGCTCTTCTTATGTTGTACCTTGTCAATATTAGAAGCCTTAAGTGAGCTGGGAGCAGAAGAGCTGCTTTGGTTTAGAGCGTTTAATCAAGGAACGTGTTTTGAACAATTAGGTGAAGAGCATTGGCTGGTAGTCAAATCAGTGTTCTGGATTTTGACTCAGCTCTGCTACTGGATAGCTGGATGATCTGTATGGAATGCCTCAGTCTCTTGGAAAATCTATTTCCTCATCTGTACAATGAAAGATCTGGAGTAAAATATACTGGAAGCTGGACCTAGTTCTACCCCCTTGTTCTAGAATGCTATCTGTAGCAAATACCATGGCTGGGCAAGAACCAGTCACCTACGGCAGGTGGTTTGACTCAGGGCTGCCTGCAGGGTTATGTAAAACAGCTTCAAAGCCCAACCGGCTCCAGCAGCCAGAAGAGGGGCTGAAGTATCTGTATTGTAAGGCTTTTCCCCTTCTTGGCAGGGTGCCTTCTCAACAGACCACACATGGGCTCAAATCTGAGGCAAATAGAAAGCAACTTTGCTATTTTTTAAACCTTAGAATTCAAAAAATCTGGAAGGCAAATATTTGGAGCAGTTTTATTTCCAATCATATTTGGTTACAATCTCAGTACAAAGTGAGAGGATTACCCACAGAGGTATGGGCAGTAACTACTTGCTAAGTTGTTTTGTTTTGTTTTTTTAAACAAATGAACAATGAAATTAAAATTGCTGATGGCTTCATTAAATAGGGAAGGATTTCTAATGTGTGTTAATTTGGCAACTTTTTCCTTTCTGTTCATCCAGTAACAATTAGAGTTGGTGTCTGTGAGTTGGACATGTAATCTGCCCTTGAGGATGTGTGCGTGTGTGTGCGTGCGCACGTGCTCACATGGGCACAAACAGGAGTCTTTCTGAAAGTGAAAGCTCCTAGTTTGTGGAAGATCTTTTCTGACAGGTAGCTGGAGAGCAGGCTCAAAATTGTGCGTTGTTGTCTTTATTCCTCATGGGGTTCAGACATATTCTTGTTATTTGTCCAGGTTTTTGTAGAATGTAGAGTCCTGAGTCAATTCTCTCTTCTTTCCTCTCTCTCTCTCTCTTTTTTTAGAACATGAAAGTCCAATTCACTTCCGTGTTAAGGTGAAATGAGACCAAGCACCTCACTCAGCCTTGTTCCGTGGTTTGCACGGAGCGGGGAGGGATTGTGCTAATCTGTCTCTGCCAGGCCCAGGGAATGCTAGGTTAGTGGCATGGTACAATTGAGAGCTTTCTGCATTTGCAGAGTTATTATCTATGTCTGAGAGAAGGAGACCAATAAAGAAGCTTTTAGTTTTTAAAAATTAGCCCCTGTGAGTTAATGGTTGAGATATATAAAAATATAATGACCTGGCCACACGGCATCCAAGCAGGAAGCCCAACACACACCCAGGAATAAACAAATATTAAAATTATCAGCTCATGAAATTCTTAGATTGTTCACCTAAATGGCCTGTAGTCAGGCTTCCACTTCCTGCAATTGCCCTCCTCACATCCCTCTCCAAGCCAAAAGGTTCTAGAACAGTGTAAGCCAAAGTGTGATTCAAGGAAGGCAGCACCAGCATCTGCTGGGAGCTCATAAGAAATGAGGACTTTGGGGTCTTGTTTCAGACTTATTGAGTCAGAATCTGGGGAGTGGGGTGTACGAGCCCTCCAGGAATGCTTATGCACGTGGAAGCTTGAGAAGCGCTGTTCTCAAACACAAGTCAGTAAAACCATGAATCTGGAGCATCTTGGTGGGACAGGTGGCCGTGCTTTCCAAGA